CCCCATGTATCCCCCTTGCCCTCTGGGAAGCCTTCCTTGACCCCTGCTCCCTCATATTAGGTTAACTCCATAGTATCCCATTTATTTCCTGTTGTAAAGCTTGTTACACTTGTTATTTGCTCAATGCCTATCTTCTCTGTAGTCTCCAAGTTCCATGAGAACTTGGACAATACCCCTTATTTACTACCATATATACAATGGCTGGCATATATTAAGAGATCAAGAAATATGTCTTGACTACATATAACTTTTATAAGACCTGAGAACCATCCTATGTATAGGGATTGAAGAAACTGAGGGTTCAGCATGGGGCAGAGAAAGCGGACCTGTTTTGTGTAGGAGACAAGGTCAGAAGTAGGGAAAGAAAGTGATGAGGTGAAGCAGAGGATTTCAGTAACCTGGAGGAGATGCTGAGTGCTCTGGAGGCTGGAAGGATTTGGCTGCCTTAATGATATGCAGGTTTTAGTTTTAGTTATTGGGTAAATGAAAGGAATGTGAGCCTGGAGTATAAAGCAAACCAAGCCTTGTTTGATTTGCTTAGTAGATGCGCATCTACCCCTGGACATCTCACATTTGACCCAAATTGTCATAAGACACTTGCCAGGAGCCCCATGGAAACTATTCTCTGGACCTAACATAGAACTTGATCTGTTTCAGTGCTGGCTCTGCTATTGCCTAGTGTAGGGCCTAGGACAAATCACTTCATCTTTCTGATTCTAATGTCTTCATTTGTAAAATGGGGATAATAAAACCTGCACAACAAAGTTGTTGCGAGGATTAAATCAGGTAATTACATGTGAGAGCATCTAGCCTAAGGCCTGGATGACCAGAGCCATCTGTAAATATAGGATAGCTGACTGAATGAAGGAAGGAATGCATGAACAAGCTTCGACTGAATTGAAGCCAGCAGGGAAAAGAAGTCAACAATCTTTTGCTAAGGCAGAAAGTTGAAGTCACTGCCTGCATACCTTAGTTCAATACTAAGAGTAAGAAGGGTCAGGGTGGGCTCAGTACATCTGTGGCTAACCTGTACCCAAAAAGCCTTCTGCTAAGTACATTCAGATCTGGAGGCAGAAGGAAGAAGGTTTGAAACCAGACAGAGCTAGAGACCAGACACTGATTAACATCAGGTATATCAGCTATATGTCCTTGAGTAAATCACTCTGAGTCTCATCTTTTTATTTGTGAAGTAGGAAAACCATGCCTATTTATAGAAATGCCATGGGATTAAATTATAATGTCTGTCTATCTATCTATCTATCTATCTATCTATCTATCTATCTATCATCTATCAGCTTAAGCGACCAGCTGACCAGCCAGTAGCTATGACGTGCACTGACCACCAGGGGGCAGACGCTCAATGCAGGAGCTGCCGAGCTGCAGTCACTTGGCAGTGGTGGTTCTTGGGCGATGCACCTAAAACCAGGGAGGAGGGAGCCTAATTCCGGTTGTGTCACCAGAGAACCGCCCTCTTGCAATATGGGACCCCTCAGGGGATGTCGGAGAGCCGGTTTCAGCCCGATTCCCCGCAGGCCAGGCCAAGAGACCCCACCGGTGCACGAATCCATGCACCG